ATGTCTAGAGATTTGAGGCTTTAAATCTTTATTCCTTTTCTTTGCCTGTTGATTTGCTTTACTCACCCTCTAATCCTTATTTACTTTTCCTAAGCTCTTTAGTTGTGAAGCTTTCCAAAAGTTTCCAAAAGTCAGTGCGCACTTTCTTTATAAAATCCCTTATTTCCATTCAGATTGGATGCCTTTTGATGGAGATTTCCATTAAACATTTGAAGATTTCCATTGAGATTTGATGCTTTTGGAGGCTTTTGGATGGAGATGTCTATTGAAAATTTGAAGATTTCCATTGAGGTTTGATGCTTTTAGAGGCTTTTGGATGGAGATTTCTATTAAACATTTGGAGATTTCCATTGAGATTTGATGCTTTTGGAGGCTTTTGGATGGAGATTTCTATTAAAAAACTTGAGATTTCCATTGAGATTTGATGCTTTTGGAGGCTTTTGGATTGAGATGTCCATTAAACATTTGAAGATTTCCATTGAGATTTGATGCTTTTGGAGGCTTTTGGATGGAGATTTGCTTGAGATTCGATTAATATTCCAGATGTCTTCAAAGTTAGGAATTCTTATTTCCTTTTAATTTAATATTGCCAGAGGTCTTCAAAGTTAGGAATTCTTATTTCCTTTTAATTTAATATTGCCAGAGGTCTTCAAAGTTAGGAATTCTTGTTTCCTTTTAATTTAATATTGCCAGAGTAGCTCCAGAGGTAGCTAGCTAAGGATTCCTTATTTAATTATCAACTGATTGATTTTCTTATACATTATTTTGGAGGCCTTGGCTGTTGAGGGGGGGGGTTTATTAATCAAGGGACTACATTAGTTGTTTTGCATCCACCAAACAGTCACAGCAATGATGTTTTCTTGTCTTTTTTTTGCGAGGCATGGGAATCGCAACTGTTTGACTGGCAATCGCACTTGCACTTGGTGGTGCTTTCTCCAGCGTTCACGGCGCCTCGCTCTCCGCCGCTTCGATGAGTTCCTTCACAGCCTGGCTTCTTCGAGCCGGACTGGGACCGGAGACCTGACCACGATCACTTATGTACATTCTATCCTATATTACAATAAACGAATAACGTAATTAAATATCATGCATATAAATATGAATGTTAAAGAGCAAATAATATAAGGAATGAATAATACAAATAGAATCAAAGAGGGGAGAGAGGGGTGGAAAAACTGCTTCAATCATCGATCGATGGTCATAGATCCGTTCTGGTGGAAAAATCACTCTTCTTTGCTTCTGAACTTTCAGTTTCAGTTGGGGTTGGAGGTGTTCAAGCAAAATCCACATCACCTAACCTCGAAGCAAATATTGGGCCCTCCAGTTTTACGGGTGATGCTATCCTAGATCGGAATAGGGGATGAAGAAACTCTCTGATTCACGTGAAACATATTGGTAATCCCCCTGTTTGGGACTCCAGGCAGGGGAAGCCAGAACTCCAGGGAGTTAAAAGCATATCTAGTAAGGCAACTGCACATTTGAGGAAGGCAAGACGTATGATGCACATGGAAGTTCCCACCTGTCTACTATATGTATAATATTAAAATGTATTGTATAACAAACATGGTGTAATCAAAGCGGCAACGGAACGCACTTCACGCGTGGTCTTCTGTTGCCTCACTGGAGGACACCCGCTACGCGTCGAGGTGCTAAAGCTCCAGCACCTCGACGCGTAGCGGGTGCTTGTTCGCTCGCCTCGACGCGGCGGAGCTCGAAGGCGCTGCGGTCGAAGTCGTAGTTGGTCCATTCCATCGAGGGGTCCTGCAGATTCCCGTCCCGCTCTGAAGAGCGGATGTCTCGGGGAACGTCGTTCGAGTCGGACCTGCCGGTGCCGTGTTAAGTGGAGGAACAGACGGTTCGCTGGGTGGACTTGAGAGAGGAGGGGGTGAACGGGCGTGAACCGGCGCAGGGGGGATTTGACCCGGGGGGGGGGCCCCCCCCCCCCGACGAACAGAATCAACTCTTACAGGACCAAACTAAATGCACAATCCCAACTCCTGATTGTAATACATTTTTGCTAAAGCAAGGAGAACTCAGGTAGCTCAAGCTACCTTTCGTGATCTGAAGGAACAGAAGCACTCTGGAATGAGCGTACCTGCCAGTGCTTGTGAGAAGAAACCCAAGAGATCCCTAAGATAAAAGATCCCAAGCTATCAGCTATCAGTGTTTGGAACTTGTTCAATTCGTTGCTTTGCGACATTGGAGCCATCGACAGGGAGCCAAGAAGCATCACTTGGAAAACACTGCCAACGGCTGAAGGGGGCATAACTGGTGTATTCTCTGTGAACTTTTGAACCTTGGGTTGACAAACGCAGCCAAATTGGGTTGCGAACATCCCAAACATCCACACAATGCTCTTCTGGGATGTGAAAAACTGGGCTCGGTTTCTAGCCTTGGGACATACAAAACCTCAAGTGTGTGTGTTTTTGATTGTTTTTGAACACATCCCTCCAACCCCGCCTTTTGTCGATTGCTTCTCATACTTCTCTGCTATCAGCCTTGGAATCCCACCGGGTATATGCCCAGAAATTCGATCCCAGGCCTGCTTTGCACACCCAGCCTGTCACCATGGGACGCTGTCAAGGTGTGGTTGACCCGAAGGCCAAGGGCAACAGGTTCCTCATTCTTGTCTTTACTGAGCTGAAGAAAACAAAAACGAGCCCGGAGCCCTGAAATCTTCCTCTGTTGCAGAAACCTGTGGTTCGCTGAAGTCAAACTCCAGGCATCGGGAGAAAGAAATCGTAACATGACTATATATATATATATATGCGTCCAAGTCGGTCCATGACCAACGAGCATGAATGATTGACACATCTCTTAAGAGGAAGGGCTTCCTCAAACCATTGAATCCATTCATCTGCAACCATGGCTTTTCTATGATTTGCCCATCTGAAAGTGTCAAAAACTTCCAAAACTGCCTCCCCGATCACCCGAAAGAAACAAATCATGCTATCACAAAACAGGTCCATCAATCGCCGAAACACACTGCTTGGCTCCTTTCGTTTGTTTCTGCACCAAAACGCCCAAACACTTCCAATCCTCACGTCGGCGTGTCTTCCACACGCGGAACCGCATGCGTGCGGAGCCACCTCCGGCTCCGGCAGCTTGCGAAAGGGAAACTCGTCGAAGTTCCGCACGTCCCCAGGGCCTTTCGACGTAGCCGGGGGCGAGGTTGGTGGAGACGGGAGGCCGCTTGAACTGTCAGGGTGAGGGCTGAAGGGAGGCGCTGCCGGGAAAAGAGAGGCATAAAGACACACACAGATGTTCTTGTTGGAGAATCCTTGAGACGTTCAGAACCATTTCTTCGGTCCAGGCGACTTTTAGGAAGGTGTGCAGGCCGAAAGGGCTCACAAGGCCGATCCCTCCGTAATCCGGCACTTATCATACTGAAAAATACAGCAAGTGCAAGGCGTAAGCAGGGCATCCACCCAATCCAGGATGCCAGTCAATAGTTAACGTTAATTATGATTATGCGACAGATACATATATCATATATCATGATGTTTGGCTTTTGGAACTCCCTGGGGAATAGCAATGAAAAGCTGATCTACCGGATCTACCTCAAAAACTCAGGCCAC